TTTCTCCCAGACCTGCAAATCTCAAGGGCCCTGTACTGGCCGTTCTCACCTTCACTTCCGGCAGCAAACAGATGGACTAGAAAGACAAGATGGCGCTACGTGCTGCTGTTGGAGGTGCCAGTGGAGGCCCGACGTCTCTGGCCCCTCGCCGACAAGGACGCCCACATCCCCGACGGTGTCCCCCTGCGCCTTGGACACTCAGCACTCGCTGCTGTCCTCCTGCTGCTGTCCTGGCGACTCCTGGACTGCACAGGTTGATCCGAGGCCCGGCGCTGCAGGCGGGTTGGCCCTGTCCTGCTGCTCCTGTCACAGCGACTCCTCGATCGGACGGGTTGATTTGGGTCCTGACCTTGTGGGCCAGAGCTGTTTCGCCTGCGCTCAGGCCCAGCACGTCTGGAATGGACCCTGTCCTCAGGGTCTGGGGAGCTGCTGTATGTTGACCTTGATCTGCTGGGGCTGCTGGTGTCCAGCAAGGAAGATGGCAGTGACTGCTGTGATGCTGGGTGTTGCTGGCTGTTTCGGCCGCTGGTCCCTGGAGATGGGGACGGGGAAGCCAACCCCGATGGCACTGGCGTGCCGGAGCGGGGGCTGATGTCCTCGGATTCTGAAGAGCCATGAGCAGATCCTTGTCCTGACTGTCTGGCCAGGCTGGGGCCACTGAGCTCTGACTCATCCCTGGAGGCTGTAAGGGCAAGCAGGAATGTCAAAGGCCCCCCAGGCCCAAGGCAGTCCAGGCCAGAGCAGTACCCCCATGCCTTCAGGAGCAGACGGGCTCTGCCAAGGCCAGCCTGGGCACTGCCCCCAGCCCAGGGACACCGGGTGCTCTGACTCATACATGTTCCGAGACCAGCACAGCTGTCACACTCCCATCTGTCGGTCTTGTTTGTCAGGCCAGAGCAGCGCCTGTGGGTGCCCTCGGCAGCACAGGAGGAGCACAGGAGCAATTCCCAGGGCCTGGGGAGGCAAAGAGGTTTTTGGCACTGAGGACAAAGTGTCCCAGCACGTGGTTGTCTGGCCAAGCTCTTGCAAGTTCTTCCCTCTTTGAGCCCTTGCCGAGATATGGTTTCCCTGCAGAGCCCCGGGTGCAGCTTCCCAACTTACCCCTCTTGCTCTGCCTCCTCCCTGCCTCCAGGGTAAAGGCATTCCCGGGCATTGCACATGCTGTGCCTCTCTCCTAGATAAGCAAAGGCATCGTTGTCCTCCCATGTTGGCAGTCTGACGGAGAAAGGAAAACCTGATGAGTTTCTGCTGCCCTCTCCTCATGGATGTCCAGGGTCAGGAACGAAAAGGAGCAGTGCTTTTCCAAGATGTGTGTGAAGCTGAAGCCCAGAGTCATGGGACAGGGCAGGGCCAGCACTGCTGGGGCATGGCCTGGCACAGCACAGCATTTGCACCCTCCTGTCTTGTGAGCCAAGCCGGGAAGAAGGACACCAACCTGAAGGGGACTCGGATCCCCGAGATGAGCATTTCGGCAACGAAACCCACACCATCTCTGCACAGGGGGCAGTGGAGGCATGCAAGACCAGCACGCATGGCCTGTCCCTGCAGAAGCCGGGAAGAAGGACACCAACCTGAAAGGGACTCTGATCCCCATGAGGAACATTTGAACAGTGAATTCCTCATTATCTCTACATAGGGGGCACTGGAAGAATAAAGCACCAGCACGCATGGCCTGTCCCTGCAGGGCAAACACAAGCAGTGTGAGCCAGGTCCTGCCAGGTCCTGGTGCTGCTGAGCACCTGCTGTGCCCCGGGGCTGAGGGGAGGGATCCAACCTGGATGCAGTCCCTGTGGAACCAGGCTCTTTTGCACTTGGGGCACACCATGGTTTTGAAGGTCTTTCTATCCTCCACAGGCTCCAGGCAGATGGGGCAATCGGTGCCCGGCTCTGGAGTCGCCCGCACCTCCTGCTCTGGACGGTGCTCAGGGCAGAAGGACCTAGAGGAAAACGGATGGGAAAAGTGAGAAGTGCTGGATGCATCACCAGTGCTGACGAGAAGTGGAGAGGGAGGTACCTGTATGGAGTAACGTAGTGATTGACACAGCCGCCCTCCTTGGCACAGGGCAGGTGGAACCATCTCTCGCAGTCCTCCGTGCAGCACATGATGGTTGCCCCGCTCTGGCCACAGACGCAGCAGCGCTGGAAAGAGCCAAGCAGCCCCATCAGCAGCAGCCTCGGGGCCTCCCCTGGCAGCCCCGCGGCTCCGGGCAGGGCGCAGGATGTGGCCCCTGCTGGGTCCCAGCCCACAGAGCCGCCTGGTGGAGGAGGGAGGCTCCTGTGCCAGAGCCTCTGTGCCAGAGCTGCTGGGAGCCAGCTGTGCCGGCTGTTGGGCCAGCCTTGCTCTGGTGCTGTCTGGGCTAAGCTCTGGCAAACCTCGCCTGGCACAAATCTCCCCGCTCTTGTCAGGCTCTCACCTTCTGTGCCGCCCGCCAGACTGCAATTTGGATATCTCGAGGGAGAAAGCCCATGAGTCCAACACGATCCTCCTCTTGGCGAAAAAGCAGAGTGGCAAAACACTGCAGCAAAGGGGAGGAGCTGATGAGGAGAGAGTGGCAGGAGCTGCCCATTGCAATGGCGGAGAGAGCACCCAGAGCCACGCACCATGCAGAAGACGTGGGCACAGAGCCCACACTTCTCCATTTTGTCACCGCAGATGTCCGGGTCAGCCTCCACACGGCGACACAGCATGCATGCTGCAGGGGACAGAGCCAATGGCACCGGGCATGGGCACCTCTGCGGGGCACTCAGCCTGCAGCAGCATCGGCCCCAAGCGCTGCTCTGTGCCTGCCTGCCTGCCTGGCTGAGGGGCAGGGCTGGAGGCCTTGCAGAGCAGGGGCCATTGCGGGCACGGCTGTCCCAGGAGCTGCCCCCTGGCCCAGCTGGGACACAAGAGGCCCTGGGCCAGGCTGTGGGAGGCCTGCTTTGCCCTCACCTGGCTCCCTGGCACCAGGTCCCTCCTGCTTCCTGTCAACCATGGCAGCTGTCAGCTGTGAGTCACTGTCCAGGAATGCAACAGTCTCCTCCATGTTTTTGTTCTGTCTCTGTGGGAGAAGGAAGAGCGTGGAGAGTTGGCAGAATAAGCCCAGAGCCACGAGGACACTTCTCCCTGCTCAGCCCTGCGTGAGCCCTGCTCCTGTCCGCCTTCTCCTCCTGTTGTGTTGCCGAGGAACACCGCAGTCTCCTCTGGATGTTCCTCTGCTGATTCTGGGAAAGGAGAGGCAGGTGAGCCTGCAGCACAGGCGCAGAGCCCCAAGGTGTGAGGCCCCTGTGGTCCCTGGGCAGCCACGTGCCTGCCCTGCCTTCTCCTGCCGTTGTCAGGTCGCACTGACACACGGCCTGAGCCCAGCCTTCCCTTTTGGGGCCTTGGTCGCACGGGTCACAATGGCCACTCTGACATCAGCATCGTGCACCCACAATTGGGGCAGCCATGGCCTCAGGTCCCTGGCGACCACTTGTGGCGGCCCCCCTGGGACCCGTGGCTCTGAGATGGGTCTGAGCTTTTGGTCAGCAGGCAACCAGGGCAGGGACACCTGCAGCAAGTGCAGGGTCAAATGCCAGGATGCCTGGGGCAGCCATCGAGGGTGGTACTGTAGGTAGGCTGACTTATCCTGCAATCCATCAACTGGCCACTTTGACATTTCATATAAATGGAAAAACTGGCATTAAGCTCCTTAGAAGCATCATCTTTTATACTGGCTCAGTGGAAACACAGAAAACTCAATGAGCATTTTCTGTGTACATCTGACCGGAGAGCTTGCGACAGTCCTCGACTCGGAAGTCAAATGCAGGAGGATGCTTTTCCCCCATTAAAGGAACTTTTCCACTTTGGTCCATGCTTTCCTACTAGCAAAAATATTTTAAAAGATCAAGAAGAGAAGCACAAACAATTCTTGTCAATTTTTCTCATTCATGTCCCTGCAAACATGCTCCTGGAAGTCCTGATCCATGACTTCTAGAACAATCAGCGGCATCCCGGGGAAACAGGGCAAGGGCTGACAAGCAGAGACACCGTGCACCTGCCTGATGCTGGGGCAGCAGGAGTTCATGCCTCTTCCTGTCTCCATGGGAGAGCCACCTTGGGTGGAAGGCGATGCCTTCACTGCTGTAGGAGGGAGGCACAGCCGGTGCAATGCCAGGGAATGCCTTTACCCAGTGAAAGAGACGCTCCCAAGTTTCCCTCATTTTGCCTCACGACCATCGCAAGAACAGGGACCAGGACCACTGAAGACCCTCATTGGAGGTCTGGCCTGGTTGAGGTGGATGCTCACCAAGTGATTGTTTGCAGCTGCGTCTACACGGCAGCCATGGTTTACTGCTTCCAGCAGGGCCTGCCAAGGAGCGACTCGCCCCATATGCCTGCGCCTGCTTCGCGACAGTGGCCCATCAATTTCCCCACCCGTCGGCCAAATGAACTTTCAGGGGTAACTTTGGTGGTCCCCCATGGAAAACCTTTCATCTGTTTCACTACCACCGTGACAAAGGGAGATTGAAGGCCCCTCCCAAGGACTGAGACTGACACCCCTATAATCCTACATGTGGCAGGGGGGGCTGGCCTGATCAAAGCAAGATGCTTGCCCAGGTGTGGTCGTTGGACCAAGAAAACAATGGCTCTCGCTCACTGCTGAGAACATGGACTGTCATGGACCCCTTTTCAGTACCTGTTCTCCCTCAACGATTTCAATAGACTTATTCTTTAGACTATTCTGTTTCCCCTCGGCGATTTCAAGACCTGTTTCTCCCCCTCGGCAAAGGACTATAATAGATCCCCGAGTTAACCAGGACTTTGAGATCCTCCCCGACCTGACAAGGCAAATTTCCCATCGACTGGACCAACAGGGTTTTCTCTCCACATTTGGAAGCTTTTATACCCCCTTTCTCTTTCTCTCTCTCCCTCTCTCTCTCTCCCTATCTTTATTTTTATCTCTTTTCTAATCCCTCTATTGCATTTGCTGTGGTCATTCAATAAAAGCTGAATTTGTTTTGATCAATACTGAAATCCCCTCTGTGTTGTTTTTGCACTCTGAGATCAGTTAATGAACCATCACGACCCCTTCTAGCTCCAGCGGATCCTGACACCCACTGGGGAGTGAGGAGGCAGAGGAAGAGGGGTAAATTGGGAATCTGCATCCGGGGCTCTGCAGGGAACCCGGCAGGGGCTCCAAGCCGAAGGAGCCAGAAGAGCTTGGCCGGACAATCCCGAGCTGTGGACACTTTGTCCCCAGCACCAGGAACCCGTTTGCTTCTCCAGGCCCTGGGCACTGCTCCGGTGCAGCTCCTGCCAGTTACACACAGACACAGAGCTACCTGCTCTGTCTCAACCCTCTTCAGCACTGGACAGCAGGACACAGTAACATGTTGTCTTCAGTACATGATCTAATTATTAAAAGTCCTGCAGAGAAGCAGCTCACATGCAAAGCAAACAGGCAAAAAACCCCCAAACCCTGGTACAATCCTTGAATTGACTCTAGAACCCACAAGGACAAGTCTTTGTCAGGCTAACGCTTTAGGCCAATGCTTTTTCCTCTCCGATCTTTGAAAGGATTTCAAAAGTTTTGTTGTTTGGCCACTTCTTCAAGCAACAAACAGGAAACACTTCTGATCTCTAAAACAAGATTTATTGGTTTATTTCCACTTTCCTTTTGGAATCCTTGTGCTTCATCTGGTGTTCCAGAAAATCATGAAAATCCAAGATAATGTTAGGGGAAGTTTCTAAATTCACTGTTTGTCACAAAGACTTCCTTTGCATACACACAAGGAACTGGTCCTGTAACATAAGGAGTGGCGGTTGTTTCCCTGACTGGACATCACAAGATGACGTTATACACTCCACTGTACTGAAACACTTCTGTTGCCTGGTAATGACAAAGCCTCAAGCTCTTCTGAAGGCTCTCCCTGGTGCAACTTCATGAGGTCCCTCTCTGCTCAACTCTGGAGCCTGTCCAGGTCTCACGGAAGGGCAGCACAGCCTTGTGGTGCATCAGCCCCTGCTCCTGGGACTGTCCCATCAGCAAACGTGCTGAGGGAGCGCTCCGTCCCTTCTGCCAGCTCACGGGGGAATAAGGCAAACAAGGCTGGCCCCAGCAGGGCCCCCTGAGCTCACAGCTAGCTGAGTTTGCAGCTCCACTGTGCACTTCTCTACCCCACTGTCCCTGAGCTGCCTCAGGAGCGCCATATGGGAGGCAGGGACAAAGGCTTGCTGAAGTCCCGGCTGACAACAGCCACCGCTCTGCCCTCACAAACCCAGCCAGTCACTGCAGCAGAGGTGCCTATGAGATTGGTCAAGCATGGTTTCCGTTTCCTGTGATTCCACACAGGCTTAGAGATGACATCCAAGAGGAGCTGTTCTCTGCACCTTGCTGAAAATGGAGCTGAGGCTGTTGGGCCTGCACTTTCCTGGCTCCTTCTTGGTGTCCTTCTGGAAGACTGCAGTGATGTTGGCTTTCCTCCACTGCTCACGCCTCTCGCTAGGGGTATCACCTTCCCTGATCTGCTGGCAGAGCACCCTGTGCCAGAGGCAGGAGCAGAGATTTCCCTTGGCCCCAAAAGGGAAGGACGCTTTCTGTGCCTCCTTCAACAGATCATTCAATCATCTGTCTTGCCTAAGTTGTACCTTTTCCAGCTTTTCCATATATCGGGCCAGGCGGTAGTGACAAGTTACCTTTAATAAGGCCTGTCCAGCAACTGTATCAGGGTCTACAGCTGAATTCTTGGAGTCATGGTTATACTCCCACTGGGACAGTTTTATTCTTCAAGGTCTATCTGGGCGTATAAATACTGATGTTCTTCTGCTCCCCTTTTTCTTGGGACGGTTCTCCTCACTTGTTCTTTTCCCCATTTTCCATGTTGGATTTCTTTATTCCTGATCCAAATATCTTTCTACATTTCCTCCAAGCAAACGTACCTACATGCCTTCATCCAGTGTTCTTCAAAGACCTCCCAAGCTCAAGGACTTGATTTCCACTTGCCACAACCCAAGTAAATTATTTTTGCTTTTTCAGGTTCCTTCTAGGGACACAGTTCCCTTCCTTTTCGCCAAAACAACTCATTCCCCCTTTCTGGGTACCTGTCTATAGGATATTGGATCACACTTTGCCCAACTTAAATGCCATGTCGTCTTTCCAGCAATTAGGGCAGTGCATATTTCTCTCACTAGAAGTACACTACACACTCCTCTGACAAATGACGCTCTCAGAAGCAGTGATGGTCTCGGGTCCTGGGGTCATCAGGGAGGCTCCAGTCCTGACAGTCTGGCCAGGCCGGGGCCATTGAGCTCGGGCTCAGCCCTGGTGGCTGTAAGGGCAAGCAGGAATGTCAAGGGTGCCCCAGGCCCGGGCCGGGCCAGAGCAGAGCGGTGTCCCCAGCCCTCCAGGAGCGGACGGGCTCTGCCAAGGCCAGCCTGGGCACTGCCCCCAGCCCAGGGACAGGCGGGTGCTTTGCCCCAGAGCCGTGCCCAGAGCAGCAGAGCTGTCACAGCCCCGGCTGGTTCTGGCCGGTGTGAGGCCCGAGCAGCGCCCGTGGCTGCCCTGGGCAGCGCCGGAGCAGCACAGGAGCAGTTGCCAGGGCCTGGAGAAGCACAGGGCTCAGCCTCTACACGGAGGGCTGAGCCCGAGCTCAATGGCCCCGGCCTGGCCAGACTGTCAGGACTGGAGCCTCCCTGATGTCCCCAGGACCCGAGAGCCTCAGGCCCAGCTCCGAAACACTGCCTAACAGGGACTGTCCACACCTTCTCTTGCTAGACCGTTGAAAGGATTTGGAAAGGAACATTGTTTGGCAGCTCCTTCAAGGAACAAACGTGACCCGCTTCTAATCAGTAAAAGGTTTATTGGTTTGCTTGCGCTTTCTATTTGGTATCCTTATGCTTCTTTCGGCATTCCAGAATATAATGAAAATCTAACAAATTCTTCGGAGAAGTTTCCTGTTCCACTATTAGGAGAAGTCTCTAAACTCACTCTATCTCTTAAATACATTCTGTACATGTAGTTAAGTGGCTGCTCCTGTAACATACAGAGATGTAGTGGTTTACCTGACTCGATAATACAACAGGGTGTTATACACACTGGTACACTAAAAACCATTTGTTCCCTGGTATTTGCAAAGTTTCAAGCTCTTCTTGAGGTCCCAAATTAATTTTGCATGCACATGCATACCTGCATTCCCACCCCATGCTCAGCTTTCGCCTAGAGCTACCAGGGAACAGACGTTCCATACTCACCTCAAGCAATAATCTACGTCTGTCTTCCTAACCCTCTTTCTCTTCACTGAACTCTAGTAATCTACAAAATAACTTTGGCTCCGCTGCACAAAACAAACAACCAGTTAATAGGGTTAAACACTTCTGATTGTGCTGCTGCTTCTAACAATCGTGAACAACACAGTAATAAAGTCAGAAATCAATTCTTCACATCCTTCCCGATCTCCTGCCCCCCGCCACACCTTGGCTCCCACAGAAATGTTCCCTACTGCAGCCTGGGGTACTAAGAACAATGACAGGCAGCAGCAGTTCTCCTCAACATGCTGCAATCTCAATTGCAGTGAAATAGCAGCCGGTCCATTCCTGGCTCAGCACCAGGACCCCACATCTTCCCCCAGCACTGAGGCCTGCTGAGGACTGAGCTCTCCCTTTCAACACAGCCTGTAAATCAGACAGGCTGGGAGATTGCAGGCCGGTAGCTGTATGAACACAGCAGTACATTTCATCAGAGTTATCTAATCCCTCTCAAGAAAGGCACATCCTTTGAGCCTGTCTTAAGACTATATATTCTACAAAATGTAACAAGCAATTGTTTTGGAGGCCTGTGCAGTTTTTGGGGACTGTGTATGTTCCCTTTTGTTGTTGTTTGCTTTGTTTCTAAATACCAAATTCACTGGATTCAGAAGAGAAAGCCCCAGATTCATTGGGACAAAGAACCACAGGGACATACAAGCCAAACTCAGCATTCCTAATGGTAACACCAGAAAGGCAGGAAAAAGT